CCTCAGGGCCCTGGACCCTCCCTAGTTCAGATGGGAGGCCTGACTGGGGACAGCCCAGGGCGTGACCTTGGAGGAGGGGCTGGGGAGGTAGTCTCCAAGTATGCCAGTTACCTAGGTAATTTAGGTACTGGGTGGAGACTTACACAGGAGGTAGGGAGGCCCAGAGCCTGCATGGCCAGGGACCTTCCAACTAAAACAAGCATTACTCTCCCTATGTACTCTGACAGGCCTAATGAATGTATAACCCAGTAATGTGGTTCTGAAATTGATGGTTCAACAAAACTTTGAGCATTAGAGGAGATAAAAACTATTGCAATGTCTTAATACTCAGTCCAAGTGAGGAAACTTTTTGTTTTAATGGTAACCAACCTGAAATTAAGTAGCAACATTCTCACTTCTATACAAGTGATTCTAGCTCTTGTTGCAAAGAGCCGGAACTGTTCCTTTTCTCCATCTTCCTTTTAAGTTTATCCGGTACACCTTAACTTGTTGTTCAGGATCTCACTTTGGTGAGATGCTCTTGTTGTTTTGCTGTCCTGAGTCTCTTGGAGCTTGCCTTTCATGTTTCTGAATTCCAATAACCAGTTGATTGGTTCCTTCATTTCATCTGATTCATTTAGCTTATCCTGTAGCTGTCTCTCTAGGTCTTCCTGTGTCCATGATGTTTACATCTTCATCTTGATGCTGTGTCTTGTCTGCATCTTCACTGCTGTGGCTAAGGTCATAGAATATCTCAAAAAGCTGATCATATTCTAATGAGTGAAGGCCCTGCCTGTGGCCAGACATTTCTGGAGAGGAGATCCCAAGGCCTTGATTTTCTGTCTCTTGTTTGATCTTCAATGATTTTCCACCAAGTACTGACAGCTTCTGCATCTGTACTGATGGGAATCAGCTTTTGTTAGAGTATGTTCGACTTTTCCAGGAAACCATATAGACATCCAGGTGCAAAGAACAAAGGTTTATTGCTGGTAAAGGGGCCAGCAAGACCCCGTCTCACAAGCCTGATCCCCAAATTCACTCCTTAAACCTCCAAACCCACGGAAAGGTCTATGCCCCTTACTGCTCCTTAATAAACAGTCCTTGCCTTGTTGGCCATTGAGTCTGGCCTATTCCTTTTCTGTTCTCTATTTTCCCCAACATACATGAAGCAATCGCTTGAATCTCCAGATGTGGAAAAAGAAGCCAATACATTTTCTTGCTGTCATCCATGTAAGGTCTGCATGGCCCAGGGCAGACACCTGTGCTAGATGCCTCCCTACCTCTAGGCTAAGTTTACGCCCAGTATAGTTACCTAGATAACTGGCTCGCCTGGAAGCAGTCCCTTGCTCCTCCAAGGTCACATCCTTGGCCACTCCCTGTCACGCCTCCCATCAGACCTGGGGAAGGTCCCAGGCCCAGATCCAGTGTGGCCACACCTCTACCTTCTTCCTGTCCCTGGCCTAAATCAGTTCTGACCTGGGGGTGTGTCTCCCCTTCTTCCACCTGCTTCTGGACCATTCTCGGCAGGGCTGCAATTCGGTAAATAAACTTTCCTTGCCTGAATAGCACATGGTGTGATCTTTATGGGCTACCTAATAAAACCCATTGAATATACCTTACATTCCAGAACCTTCTCTTTTCTAACATTTTTATAGGCAGAAATTCCATGGTTCCAGACAAACTTTTTTTTCTTGCCTGCTTTGGAATTGGCAGTAGCAACTGAAAACTCCATAGATCACCATCAAGTGTGCATATAAGCATCTGACAGATAGCAGGTATCTTACAAAAGGTTTGTCAATGGTCTTCAACTTTTCCATACCACAAGGCAGATCTAGCCAGTTTTGCTGTTCATTCTGAGTCCATGACGCCCATCGGGATATAACTCAACGCTCAATCTGTCCTTCAGGTGGACATGGCCAGATATACTGTCCTCACATTAGCAGCATATTCTGGAGGTAAGCGTAAAATAAACTGGCTTTCTCATTCATGAGGAGCATCATCTTTGATTTTACTCATCTTCTGCGACTCTAACCTTTATTGCACAAAAAGTTGCAGCGATTGCAACAGTTAAAAAGACTAATGTGCTATGAACTGTTACCTTCAATTACAAAGAACTCCAAGTAGAACAGGAGCAAAGTAGAATAGCGGCTAAGCATCCAGTTTGTCTTAATTTTTAATGAATTCCAAGTCTTAGATCAATGAGTCTTTACAAAAGGCCACTATACTCCAATTAAAAGCAACAAGGGGGTAGTTAGAAAAATTGTCTCCCAAGCATGGTCTTAACCTGGAATTTATTGAGGACCAAAGTTACATCTGACAAACTTGTAAGAATCCTCTCCTTCTCTGTGGGCCTGCTGGAAACGTTAGTGATAATCGTTCACAAGCATCCCAGGGACCATGTGGAGAGGCAAGCAAGAACAGGAGAAAGATTATAAGGTTTTATTAGAGGGGCCATATTTCCTGGGAGAGGGAGCACCAGTGTTCATCCCTATCCAAGTGGCAGGTGGGTCTCCAGGCAGGTACTGAGGTAGGTGTGTGTCCAAGTGGGTCTGGGTGTAGAGGGAGTGGCCAGCTGTCTGGCGGGAATCCTAGGGCAGGGAGGACCTCGGGTCTGGGTGGAGCTGAGGGACCAGGGGGACAATACCACCAGTTGCAAAAAACCTTTAAGGGCAAACTGAAACAGCAATTACACAACTATTTCGGTAGCCCTAATTTTTCCTCCTTTTGAAACATTTAAGGACAATTTTACTTTGTCTAGGAAGCCAACCACTTCACAAATTTTTATACAGGGGTCACTGTTAATCCCTACCCCCAAAGCCACTTTAATTTGCATTTAAATGACCCTTTGAAACCCTGGGTAACTCCCATAACCTTATCCCTGTTTAAAACTAACTGGTTTGCAGTCTGAGTTTTTCCTCTTAAAAAATAGTCATGAGTTTAAAGGTTTTCTAATATAAGCACTAGCACTCTACCAAGAATCCAGGCTTAGCATCTTTATGCCTTTTAAAAAATGCATCCAATTGTAAAACAGCATTGAAACCAAATTACATCACAGATAAACCTCTTTAAATTGGAAAAGTCTTAAAAGGGGGGTTAAGTACATTCCAAGGGGCAGGTTTAGAAATACCAATCACCCACTTTAACATAAAGGTTTCCAGTGTCCATCTGCAAGGAACACAGGATGAAGATGGGCATATATATATTGGACACCTTAAGGTTAGATGAACTGCCTTTGTACCAGTTTACCCTCTTTCACCATGCATGGACTCACCCCAGGGCCTGTCACCGTGCATGGACTGGCTCAGCTCACCTTTTGCCAGAACACCCCTCACTCCCAAAGTTAGACCATTCTAAGTTTGTTCTGTCCTTTTGTGATCTCTGAGAAACCAAGCACTTGGGACAGCCAGAATGGGCCATTTCTTTGGCAGTGCTCAACAAACCTTCACACTTAAATTTGACACTTAACCCCCAATTTTAGCAGTGGCGGAAAAGAATATCTGCTAAGCCAGATAACTTGATTACGGTGCCAATAGCCTTAAGCATTTACTTTGCAAAAATCAAGAATCCTTAGAAAACCTTTTTTTGTAGGTCGTGGCGCTTGAACTCTGAGCTTGTGAAGTACCCCGTTTTCGGATGCCCCCTCATAGACCACCAGAGACCACAATCAATGCAAACAGCAAAGAGTCGTTTATTGCAAGCTCGAGCTTGGTCCTCCGCGCACTCGGTAACCGGTGACGCTAAGAGGCCCCGAGCATAGAATCAGCACAGTTTTTATAGTATTGAACAAACAACTTTAAGGAACTTTTACATTAGAAATTACATGATTGGTTAACATTTAAAGCAAGCTAAGCTGGGCAAATGATTGGTTGACCTTTACAGAAAAACATCCTTGGTCCATAGCTTGACCAAAAACGGTTATGAGTCACACCTGGACCAACAGAATGTATGGCATGTTTCGCCCTGGGCTCTGAAGAACCAGTTGGTCAGAAAATTATGTGGCTTTCCTTGGAACTGAAACTCTTAGCCCTACGTCGCTGGGGGGCAACACCACTTGGGGGCTAACACCTGCCTTAAGCAAACACCATCTCTGGCTCCAAGAATTGTGCATGGCTTTCTGTCATTAAATCCCTAGCACTGGGGCTAAAGTGGGCCATGAGTTAAGTCGCAGAACTGAGATGGGGTCTTAAGTAAAATGGAATTGCTTAGGTTTTTCACTTGGGCACTGTCCCTCAGCTCTTCAGCTCAAGGCGAGTGCTCTACCACTTAAGCCACAGTGCCACTTCCAATTTTCTGATGTTTTATTGGAGATAAGAATCTCACGGAGTTTCCTGCCCGGGCTGGCTTTGAACCGAGATCCTCAGATCTCAGCCACCTGAGTAGCTAGGATTACAGACCTGAGCCACCTGCGCCTGGCTTAGAAAACCTTTCAACTAAAGATCCTCTCTAAATAATCCTTTCAGACATTTGGTAACACACCCTGACTTGTTGGCCTTCTTTAGAGTTTAAACTTAAACTCATCCATTTTTTATATCATGCTGACAGTTTTTAATCTCCAACGTGTTTACATATATACACACAGGTGCACGTGTTTACATATATACACACAGGTGCACAACACACATACCCTCTTATGCACAGAGATCTTAAAGCACAGTTTTGGTACTTCAGGAGACATATTCTAAATGTTTACACAATTATACAATATTTAAATAAAATCATTTGTCTTACCCAAAAGAAATACCCTAACACACAGTAGAGTCTTACAACGCTTTGACAAACAACAATTAGATGCTTCAGAGTTATTTTAATGTACTGGTAACACATTTTCAATCAGGCAAGTTTAGATGTGTCTTCATATTGAAGCTCTGGCTTGACTTGATCCTTTTCTCTCTCCAGGAAGTCTCTTTTCAGCAAGTTTCTCGTATTCATCTTTGTCCCACTTTCGGTGAAAGTCCAAGTTTGTTGCCCCACTGCCAGATGCCATCTTCACGCAAAACTCCAAGATGATGCTTTTTTTAAAAACTGGTTACCAATTTTAATGGAATCAGATGTTTATGCAATAAAACTTTATACACATTTGCAAACAAAACAACAAATACCACCTTACAACCTTTCTAGGAATTATAGAAAGTAGAGAGGATACCCATGTGGAGATTTTTTTCAGTTGGAAGTAAAGATTAGTATTTTGGTCTTTTCACTTGAACCCCTTCAGCCTCCATCTTCTTCCTCTTCTCAATAATTACACTGATCTTCTTCCACTGCCGATCAAGCTCTGCTTTGCCATTGGTTTCTTTAAGTCGCCTGGTTTTCCGTCCTTCAGACATCTTGATACCATACTGGAATGCAGCCTTGGGTAAAGCTTCCTTATTGCTCATATACACGCTGTATTCCTCCTGGGTATCAAAGTCCCAGCGGCCTAAGGGGCCCTTCTTGTTACCCTGGTCCATTTTGCTATAATCCACCTCCTCGTCACTATCCACCGCCACGTCATCCATCGTGGCAGGATAGCACTCTGCGTAACTGTTAGACATGCCAAAGAAATCACCCAGCTGCTTTTTGTCTTCTGGCTTCAATGACTCAATGCCTTCCCAACTGGCAGACCCTGCAAACTTTTCATTGATTGACTTGATCAAGTCTTTGGCAGACCCAGGTCCTTTGTCAACTTCCATGGGCTCAACATCCACTTTTGGCTTCTCAAAATAGCTGTGCCTCTTCTTTTCTTGCTCCCTCTCCTGATCTTGTTCTTTCTCCCAATCCTGGTCCAGGTCTCTGTCTGGCTCTCGTTCGCCATATCTCTCTTGCTTCTTGTCCCGAGGTGTCTTGGTTGTGGAGAAAACATAGTCCCCAATGTCCTCAAAAATATTCATGTCAGCCTCAGGAGGCTTCTTCTCTTCCATCTTCCCTTTATCCTTCTTCTTGAGCTTCTTGTTGCGGGTACCCAGCCTCAGGTATGAAAGGATCTGAGTGAGTTTGCTGATGACAATGTCATTTGTTGTCAGCATGGTCTGGGCCTCCACGGTTGGGCAATCAGCCTTGCTACGGATAAGTGTGGTGGGAATATCTGTGTCCGCATACTCATCGTCCAGGTCCACCAGATAGGCCATGCGGCCTGGCAAGAACAGCTCATTCCGCTCATCGGCTTTGCTCTTAAAAAGCGAATGATAAACATTGCGGCCAAGACGAGTTTTAAATTCAATTTTGTTCTCAGGATCCTCATCTTTCTTGGTTTCCTTTTGAGGTTTCTCCATCAATTCCTCTTCCTCTTTGCTGGCAATCTCAGCTCGTACCTTTTGAAGAAGAGCAAAATCCAAGCCTTTCACCAAGTGGGTGTGCTCCATGTCACCACCCAAAAATTTGGACTCCTGGATCAACTGTCTTCTCTTCTCTGCAGCTGATTTGTCCACCTCTGCTGTGGGGCCCACAGCCCTATAGTTGGCTGCGGTTTCCTCATAATCTTTGTTCACACCATCTCTTCGTTCCTTGGCACGGTCCCGGTACTTCTCTGCTAGCTCTCTCTCTCTCTCAATCTCTTGTTGGCGTAACTTAGCATAATAACTTTGCTTTTTTCTCCTTTGGGCAGCTGGATCTTCATCCTCATTGCACTCTCTTGACATCTCATGGTGACATGACTTAGAAGGTAGTACAGAGGTAGGTGCAGCCCTGGGGGTCATGAAAAGTTTCCTGAAATCTTCATTGGTGAGTTTTGATTGGAAAGGATCATCCACATCATGGCCATCTGGAGCCAAAGGGTTGGAGAATGGTTCACTGTCCCACTCCGGCATTTTGTCCGCAGTCTTCCCACAGAAGCAAGCACCAAATCTCCAAGATGATGCTTTGAAACAAAAGACAATCAAGAGCTTATCAGGGAACTTTTTTCCTTTGTTCTAATGGTCCAAGTATGAGCAATTTTCAATCTGACTTGGAAGCTTTTTCGGTACTAATGAACCAATACTTTGCGAAGGTCTAGACTTCTATTGCTTTCAGTTAATGGTTACAAGAAACCAAAGAACATAGCTTATGGTAGTGTCTCAAATTTCCATGTATCATTGGTCATCTTTAAAGTGCCTAGTCTTGGGTTTATAGCTGAAAGGAACTTACCTCAAAGGGCCACGCAGACAAAGTCACGTAGATTGTGGGAACTTGGCCTTGTCAGCTCTGCTGGTAATAGACCTTTCTACTCCAAGGGAAAAGGAAAATGCCTTGGTGTGTCTTTGAAGACTCTTATTTATATAGTGATGGGGCAGGAAGTGGGAGGGGCCCACCTGCCCCAGAGATAAAGTCATCAAGTGGGAGGGGCCTTTTGCTGACTTAGAAAGCTACTTGCAAGAGAGGCCAGGAGAAGTCCTTCACACTCTTTCTGTCCCATCCTAGGATAAACTGATTCTGGAAGAGTAAACACTGATGCAGCCACCAGAACTTTCAGGCACACAACTTGACACTAAACCAGAGTTCTTTTTAGAGAAGGGAATATTCGCTTCAATTATGTTGAGTATGAGAATCTAACTTAGAACTAGGTATCAATTTGAGACTGATACACTTAAGTAACTGGTATTGACAGAAGTTGACATCAAAAGGTAGAGACTGCTGATAAAACTCAGACTTTAGACTAGTTTCTAAAAATGATAAGAATACAAAGATGCAAGAATGTTATTGACTCTGCTCACAAAGGTGAGTTTATCCTTGGCTCATTGAATCTACTAGCTTTATAATATGACAGTCTTCAATGCTGCTGCAGGAAATACTGGAAAGTCAAATCTTGCCTAGTGATGGTTTTGTCTCTAATTGGATTTGTACTGATGGGAACAGAGTAAAACTCATGATCCAAAGGCATGAAAAGGTGGAATATGAGTAGGTAATGTCATATGAATCTGAACATCCTCTGAGCCACAAATGCCCACCCTCTAGTCTGGCCATTAACACTCTGAAGGTCTTTCCCCAGTATCCAAAAGGAATGACTCCACCCCCCTAACAAATACCCACACCCACAAAATAAGGCCAACACAGGCCAAAATTAGGCCCATCAGAGAAAGGCTCAGTAACTCTTCTTGGTGGAACCACAGCCAAGAAGCCCATCACAGCCACCATCTCCTCCTCCTCAAATGTCAAGTCCTCCTCCACTCTCCTGTTCGTCTTTTGTTTCTTTCTTGTATGCTTTAGCCTTTTCTTCCTCTGAGTTTCTTCATCCTCTGCTCAAAATCATAATCCTTCGGCTGGTTTACGTCTTATTGACTGACCTCAAAGCCTTTCTTCACCTGATCCAGGATAGAACGTTCCACATGCCTAGGCATGCCCAGGTTCCGTTGATTCTTTCCATTCATATGATCCAGGAAGTTGATGGAGTCTCTCACCACAGTCACAGACATTGCAGTAATGTCCTCCCATCTCAGAGGGTGGGGTTGTCTTGGTCATGACATTTGGAATCCAATCTTGGGAAGACGAGCCCACTTTATAGTCTCTGTGTTACTGAAACTCCCTCTTGACTGGCTGCCCTGGTTTTCCATCCTTTCCACTCTCTCCTGTGAGTCTTAGTTTCTTGTATTCCTCTTTGTGCCACTTTCAAAGAAAGTACACATTTTTTAATATAGAAAAATGCTTTATTTAAAAATATGATCTTTTCAAGAACAGAAAAATTTTATAGACAGGTAATTTAGCTTAGAAACAGTCAAACACACAAAAAATCCAGACTTAGAAATTATGATTTGTAATATATACAATACTGGTGCTGAGCAACAGTTTAAATGTAGAATGCTTTTAATCCCATCACATTTAAATAATTATGAAAACCAGTTCTTTGGACTAAAATGTCTGAATTCTTTCCTCTTATATTCTGCCCTTCCCAGAAGATACAGAAATGGCAGCAGCTAGGCAGTATAATTGTGTGCCTATGATTCAAAAAATACATCTGTACTTTTATTCTTTTTATTCTTTTCCTATTCTTTGAAATTGATTTCTTATGTGACAATAAGCCTGGTCCTATTTGGCGGGTATCTTTTTTTCCCTTTGGTCAGTCGTGGGGCTTGAACTCTGGGCCTGGGGCTGTGTTCATCTCTTCAGCTCCAGGCCAGTGCTCTACTACTTGAGCCACAATGCCACTTCTGGTGTTCTGAGTGGTTTATTTCAGACAAGAGTCTGAAGGACTTTCCTGCCTGGGCTGGCTTTGAACCACAATCCTCAGATCTCAGCCTGCTGAGGAGCTAGGATCACAGGGCCTGAGCCACCAGCGCCTGGCTGCCAGCTGCCTTCAATTTAAAAACAGAAGTTCTCTAAGGGCAAGGACCTGTGCTACCAGGATAGCAGCACAAGCCTCAGAGGTGATGATCCTAAGTTACCAACACTCAGCAGGATGTTGCTCTCTTAAGACAGCACTAGGAATAGCTATCAGCCGATTTTTGTCAGTGTCCTTCTGAAATACTTCAAGCCATTTAAACAACTAACATAGATTTATAAAGCAGGAGAAATAGCTTATCAGACTGAAGTGCTATTAGCGACTATACTCCAGAGGCTGTTGAGATTTCATAATCTAAAACTTTTTAAAGTATATTGTCATTACTAATTTTTTTAATACAGTCACTGCTTCTCAGACTGGGGAACTCTGGTATCTTCCTGTAGTGTCCATTTTCCCCCCTAAATATTTGGAAAGGTTTCATTTTTCTTTTTTTTTTTTTTATAATCCTAAGTTCTGTTTTTTTGGATCCACAGGCAAAATCGGTGTGCTCTTAAAAACACTTTTATGCCCTGACTTCTAAGGAGATTTCAGTAGTAACATCTGTATGTATGAAACATCAACAGTGATGTCTGAGGGTGTGAACATCAATTCAGACCCATGGCTCATTCTTGATTCCAGCTTCAGAAATAATGTAATTCTTTTGTAATTCTTTCTGTCTATACTGATGAGGAAGTATGTCAAGGATAAGATGTTTGGACTTTTATTTTACATTGTTTAGTAATTACAGGGATGTTACAATCAAGTTTACTGCTTACAACTAAAAATATAGAACATTTAAAAAAAAGTGGAATTCATGAAGCAAAGATTAGAATGCATTCCTCTGAAAGTGCTGGGCACAGTAATTGGGAGACATTTTATTCTTTGAGTATACATTAAATCACAGTATCCTTGTTCTTTGTCACCCTTTTAGTTGAACTGGCAAGTATATGGTATCTTTCTTAGTCATTCATTACATTGTTTTCTCTGGGCTCCAAACCCAGTAAGAAATTCTTTCTTGACACCAAAGAGATCATTTCAATAATGTTATATGGGCATAAATACAAACTGCCCAGTTTCAATAACGTCATATGGGGATAAATATAAACTGCCCAGCAACAAGAATGTCAAGTAGAAAGTCAATGGTCATTCTTTAACACCTATAAAGAACAAAATGAAGTTACCAATGAAATGCTATGAGGCAAATTTACAAACTTTATTTGAACAATGATTTGAATACATAAGGCCATACAAGGTACATACATGGTACATAAGGCCATACATGGTACATCAAGTTGTCAACTAACATTTAGTAAATACAGTTAAACATGACTTCATATCAACAACGATCCTAGGTAACTGAAAGGCTATTCCCATTAATCCTACAATTTGAGACCATTCCAACTGCATTTCACAAGGTGAACTCCAGTCTCCAAATCTTTAACTGCCACCTCCAGATCTAAGTCCACTGCCAGCCAGGGCCTGGTCACAAAGTCCAAGGTTTTTATCCACTGCCGGACACGATCTTCACACAGAAGTCCAAGATGATGCTTTAAACACAGGCAATATGTAGTATCTCAACAGGGAACCTTATTTCCTTGGTTCTAATATTCCAAGCATGAGCAATTTTCAGTCTGACTTGTAACCATGAACTAAAAGCAACAGAAGTCTAGACCTTCTCCAAGCACTGGGTCATCAGTACCTACAAATCTTCCAAGAGAGAAACCAAAGCATACAGCTTGAAGGTTCGTGTCTCAAATTTTCATCTTTTTTTTTGGAGGGGGGTGAACATTTATTTACAAAGCATCCAGAAATGTGTAGTTTATTAACATCTTTAAAAAAACAGCTACGGAATACAGGGTTATTTACAAGTTTTATGATGGAAAGTAAACTGCAGTAAGGATTTCAGATAATCAAAGAACATCTTTTTTCTAGAAATACCAGTAATATGTCTACCATAGTTATAAGCAGAAAAACTAAAATCTTAAAAATACATTTTTAAGAGATACTTTTTAAGACTATAATTATACTTGGGGAAATGGGATAATTTTTTTCCTTAGAAAGCTGATCTGAAAACACAAACACATGAGTATGTCTTCATTTAAGTACATGCTTCAAGCTAGATTTTTAAAATGTGAATTAGGGTTTCCAGAGCTTTACAAGTCCATCTGCACTGTAGGTAACAATCAAATTCTGATGAGGATGATGTGCAATACCAATCACATCCTTCTCGTGAACTGTCAAAGTTCTCTCCAGTTTGCCAGTGACTGTGTTAAAGCAGTAGAGCACAAAGTCTTCCCCCACACAATAGATCCATTCACCACGAGGAGAGAGAGCACAGCAAACAAAGTCACCACCTTCTCTCTTACCAGAGCTGAAGCTTCTGACAATCTGGCCTTGTATGTTCATGATGACCACAGTGTTTGATCGGTTGCACACCACAAAGTGTTCTGGGTTTTTAGGAAGCAGGATCACATTGTTGACAGTAATGTCTGTCCCCGCAGTGCTGCCCAAGGACTTCAAGGTATTTGAGCATTCTGTTGTCTTCATATTCCAGATCTTTACAGTGCCATCAGAGGAAGCACTGATAATATAATGTCCATCTTGTGTAAATG